AGTCATAATCGGTTTGCGATTAAATCACCTAAGTAAGATTCGTAAACGACCTGATTGTAGTGGAGAAGAATCTTAAAGTACTGGAATTAATGATACAGACCTTAGCAGTTAAAAGCAAAGAAGTAGGCTTGGAAGTAAATCCAAACGAGACAAAAATGATGACAAACTCAGAAGCTGTAGACATAACTATCAACGGTCTCTCGAATATGCAAACGACTAAATAAATAGATAGAAGGATTACCAATCGATGGGACGAATATTATTAGGCACAAAGATCAAGAGAAATACTTTTGATACGCTTATGTTGCAACACATATGCTGCTGGCGAAACCAGGGCTTTCACGTAACAATATAGAAAAAACCTTGCAAGAAGTCAGAGAGGCATGGAGAAAAGTATGCTCCATATTAAACTAAAGGACAAAGTCAGAAGTTTAAATTTATGATGCAAAACAAGACTGACAACATCTTTACTCGAATCGATCAACTCAAATGGAGATTAACTAGACACATGCTTAAATAAAGAAGAGAAATGGAGTTAAAGGGTAGTCCTAGGGATGGTACAAGAACCTGAGGTCACCAAATGAGACTTAAGACTGACCTTAGATCCCCTTTGGCTAAGAGTAGCTGTAAATCGTATTCAGTAGAAGACGTTTGAGGAGGCCTTTGCCATATATAAGGCACACCGAGCAAAATTATATTATTATATAGAGCTAAAAGTGTTTATTTTATTGATGTAAATGTTTGGAAAGAAAAGGCTTACTTAATAATTAAACAAACGAAAGCATGCGTACTCACCGAACTATCAGTCAACCAGCTCGCGCTAGCTGTAGTAGTTGTAACGCACATCGTCAGCAAAATTAGTTGCCGGATGTAAAGTAGCGGATACATTATTTGAAGGAAGTAATGTACATCTCCTGCACTTCAACTAGCAACAAATGTGCGTTATAGCCTCGCAAAATTTTTTGAGTTGCACGAGTTAGGTTACATAAAGTACGCAAAATAAAATATAAACATTGTTTCAGTATTATATAATTCGGGGTAAAACAATGCATTTGACACCTGTAGGGCGTAATTCAGTTATCAATAGATAACTTTCGCGTGACACAGCAGTACTGACTTTTAATGTATACTAAAGTAACGTTCACTATTAGAATGTTATTCTTAAAATTAAAACAAAACCAACTTTATTTACTACCATTTTATTTCAATATTTCTTAAAATACAAATTTGTGGACACATAATAATATTATAGGAAATATCATATGATAATTAACTAAATTAATTATTTTATTATAAATTACTACTTGATATTGCTACGTCAGATTCACTAGAACCTTTTATTTAACTACTTGAGACAAATTTATTACTAAAGTAAAAATTGATCGTAATTTATTGATATTTATATTAACAGTTTTTTGACATTTTGTAATGGTATAGATATAAAATCTAAAGAGACCAATAAATGACTTAATTAGTTAATGTATCATAGAAAAAAAAATAAACAATTTCAGTCATGTTATAAAATGTGTCAGATAGTTATTGGTTTGTGTAGACCGAGCTACGGGTGAATAGCACTCGGTGAAAGTAAAGGAAATAGTTACCAATTACATATGAAATTAAGAGGAAGAACTCCTAAGCTTTTCTCTTAAAAACATCTTTTGAGTACACCGCTGTCACAGGATAAAGATTTATCACCTTTGAAGTAGGTGTTATTTAATTAAACCTTTATGCTAGTACAGCGTGCTCGACGTTGAAGGCTGTTTCTGAACAGATTAGCACTACAGGGACTCAATTTTGCTATCCTAACGGAATTATGGCGTGTCAATGGCGTTCGAATAACATCTCTTTTGCACATATTTCTGGTAGATTAAGATTAAGACAAGAAATAAGCACTTCTTTAAATAAAACCGTTTTTAATTTAATAAACTCAAAACAGTTTATCGGCATATTTTTAAAATTTTCAACTTCATGTAAAAGGTTTAATTTTATAAAAGTTTTTGTAATCTCTTTCAAACTTTTATTTTTAAGCTGAGTAAAAACTCAATAATATATAAATATTTGGAAAGCTACTGTAACGATTTTATTGAAACTTACACTGATTTTTAGGTTAGAATTTTTAAGTCTAACAAAAGATAAATAGTTTGGTCCGATTTCGAGAAATACGTGCATAGACAAACATTTCAACTTACATAGACTCACAATTTTTTTTTTTTAATCTTTTCAGGTTTTTGTGAGTTTTAGAGCTTGTGAGTTTCTTGCTCGTTCTTCTTATCAGCCAAAAGATGTCCTGAACGAGTAGTAACAATGGTGGACGATTCAAAAGTAATTTTAAGAAGTCTATTTGAATAAAGATTATTTTGACTTTGACTTTGATATCAATTTTTTAAGAACTCTACAATATGTCAGTCATATGGTACCTCATATTCATTACTTACAGCTCTAAAATAATAATTAATGGAACAGCAATCGTCGATAACTTGTAATGTTGCATATAAGTTTTGCTGTTTGCCAATGGTTAATTTGACAGTGAACTTTGAAAAATGTCTAAAATACTGCTTACATAAATACTTATGTATACGACTATCGCGGTATTTCAACAGAATTGTATTGTACAGGTTAATTATAACAGAATTGTATTGTACAGGTTAATTATAACCTGATTTTTTTGATAAATAAAATGCCATTGACACGCCTTTATTACGTAAACTTGGTCAGAAAATTCCAGCAGGCAAAGATGCCCATGCCTTCTGCTTGCATTTCTCCACAAGGTGACTCTACACCTACAAACTTTTAACAAAAGCAACCTGTAATGATGAGCATTAATGAAAACAAGTAGTATCTTAAAGAAATAGATTATTATACGTAAAGATATTCGCCTTAAACCCAGTGACAATCGAATTATCTATGAAATGCGTTCTGATTTCTATCTCATGTGTTAAATTAGGTAACATATTTAGCCATTTGTGTTCCTTTTTAAAGGAATTCGTCATAATCTGATACATTTTATTATGAATAAACAAGTAAATTATGATAGACGTGTGAAACTGCTTACTCTTTGATTCAGTGCATCAATTTTTTGAAAAAATTTCTTTAGACATGATTAGTTTTCGAGCTCAGACAATAACGATTTTAAATACAATGACTGGTTATTTAATGTATGCAAATATTTTGAGCGTTGTAAAAGCACCTGTTCGCAAAATTAATTTAAATAAAATAATATAAGCTACATTAAAATTAATTGTAATTTAAATCTATTAAAATTATTTAATTTTATATAATAATACAGTGCCTGTAATTTTTAAACGTATTTATGTATGGCAAGAATGATTCCTTAAGCCAAATTATTTTAATTTAAAATACTTGTTAATATAAACAAACTATGTTTCTTTTTTATTTGATGTATATAAAAAAAGGTAGAAAGGCAATTTACAGAACTTATAAATATCTAAAGAGATTCTTGCAATCTTGCAATCTAATATCTTATTAATATATTTTATATTTCACGGTTATGGCTTGCGTGTTGGATGACAACTATTTATTATATTATTCTAAATATGCAATGAAATATATATTTGATTATAAACAATTACATTTTTTAATTAAGCCTACTGTAATAATAAAACTATATTTTCCTTATAAATAATTAAGTACTGGCTTGGAATGTTCTTTACGATATGTTTTACAGATGTTTTATGTTATCTAATATTATATTTAAATCGAATTTTGCAGCTGTAAAAAATAATATGAGAGTCTGTGCTAAAATTAAGTAAATTAAGTGGACTTTTCAGAGATATTACTATAACGGTTATGGTTATAAACCTGTAATGTAATCCCAGAACATAATTGAAACTTGCAGTCACTTGAAAAAATAGATTGTATTTATTATAAATTCCATGAGCGTTCTTCATTAGTTTCATGACAAGAATATACTTAATTAGTGATATTATTACTACAATTGATGAATAATATAATGATGACCGCTGCGTTAAAATGTACGATAAATGTGGAGACAGATTTGACCAATTAGAACTCAGAATCCCATCAATTATGCGCGAGATATGTGAAGGCACCAATCAACGCATTCGGACGGCTAGTTCTGTTTCCTAACAAATAAACCTATGTATTTGACTTTGTGCCATAGATAACTTTATGCATTCAAAGTCAGCGCTCGACACTCGTGACATGAGCAGTATTAATACTTAGTCTAAAACAAATACAATTATTTTTTTTAAATATATGGCTCATGTTAATGGCCTTAAAAAAATAAAAAATCTTATTGAGTATTCATAACTAATTTAGGTAGCCACTTAAAAGATATAAGTAAAATAAAAATTTTAATTGTAAAATAAAGCTGTAAATACGTTTAGTTGTAAATAATATAAAAATAATAAAAAAAACACAATTGTTTTTTTGTGATATTCATTCGTGATGTTTTAGTTATGACAATTATATTAAATTTCATTTTTATTTCTACAAAAAATATTAATAATGTATGATGGTAATATTCTCAGAAAAACTTAATAAAGAAATAATTGTCAAAATATGTAACAGTATTTATAAATTTATATTAAAATTTATGAAGTCATGAATAAAATATTTAATGTTTTGTAACATTCTAATTTAAAATCAGTTGGGACGGAATTATTACTTTAATTGCACTTTTAGAATATTATACAAATATTAAATATGTATGTCTTCGTTTAATAATGATTCTTATATATTTTATTTATCTCGTGATATTAAATAAAATATCCAGAGAAATTCTTGTTTTCTTGAGTCTATTCGGTTTTACATATTTTTAAAATAAAAAAATTAACCATAATAATAGTATAAGCATTATTCCTAGTGTCTATTTATTGAAATCTATGTGCTATAAAATGAGCCATACTGTTTCCTAATATATTTACAAGATCATTTTTTTTGTGAAAACACCGCACGATGGTTTTTATACATTTAGATTAGTTAATCTGTATAAAATAAAAAAGTAAAATTTTTATGACAAACTTCATATTGAGTACGAGATTCATTTCGAGAACAAAGAAACATTTACATATTGATTTCTTCTGGTACACATTTTCTATGCATACATTTATTTGTAATTTTAAATAAATAAAAATAATTCATTATTACAAAATTAATAATTTTATTAATTGTTACTAATCCAAAGATAATTATCTTTACGGTGATGTCGAGACTTGTCAAAAACGTATATTAAATCTTGAATTTTCATATTTTGTTACACCAATAAATTAGTATTAATCCTGAACTATGACGATGTGCGTTCCCAAATTATATTAGTTACAATATCTGTAAACACGGATATTGTATTCCACGAATGGAATTTTATCTTCCGGCGATATTTTGCAGATGTCCTGAAATAAAATGCACATAATTAATATGAAGAAAGGCAATTTGCAGATTAAATTTCGCTGATATTCGTAAGAAAAAAATATTTATTGCAAGAGTTAGCTTCTATATTGACATTACTTATGTAAAAAACGAATTCACAAATGTATTTGTAGTAGTTATAAGACAAATAAAGCACTAACAAAGAAAGTTGTGAGAACAATTTGTTTTAGTTTATTTCGATAACATTTACTTTTGAGTATTCAAGCACATAACAAGAACTAGCTTATGGAATTCAACTAACCTCGAACGGCATGAAAGTTCCTCTTATTTTCAACACCTTATCAACATTGCAATTCAAATTAACGGTGGTAGACCAGGCGGTCTCAGTTAGAACTAGTTTACGACAACTGGGCGAATCATGATGACAATCAAACCGGTCGCAACGATGGAATTCTTTTAGTTTCAATGACCTAAAAAGCAAAAATATATTAACCAGATGACGTAGCATAACATCACACGTATTGTTCCAATCCTGAGTTTTGTGGGTAAAATACTTGCGTAAAAGTAATGATAGCAAATAAAGAAAAATATTTTTGTAAAGACACGTCGAAACTCTTGAAGCTTACCTGAAAGTGACATCGATATGTTTCTGCTGTAGACAATGGGACAGAGGCATTGTGTACGTATGATTGTAAACGGTACGGGGGCAGACTTGTTCGATGAATAGAGAACCGTTGGTGATCGACTTGCTGGAAACACCGACGTGAACTTTGTCGCATTCTGGAGAACAAAAATAGGTATCAGACAGCTAGTAGTAGCTAATTATAAGGCTCCAGCAGTCTCATTGTGTACGCTATAAATACTTTATATAATATCATTATGACTTTTTTAATTAGTTATTGCTTCAAAGTAACAAGATATTTTATTTGTTTACTGGCATACACAACAATGATTCTCCAAATAATTTAGAAGTTTCTCTAAAAATTTAATTTTATAGCCAATCGGGAAAAGTCAACAGCTTTGTATAACCTGCATGTGCTGTTGATTATACGACCTTTATTATAACTACTATTAATTAGTAGTAGTTCAAAAGACAGCTTTCACAATGTTAAATATTATTTGAATTCTAGCCAAATTTAAAGAAAATCTAAAAAAAATACACACCCTTCAATGCAATTTCTTCCGATTGATCTCCCATACTAATCTCCTCAGAACTACTTATAGCTTCATTTGTCTGTCTCACTACACGAAGGTGGTTAATTTTTACACCTCTTTTCATTCTAGTAGTATTGTCAGTGAAATTCTGTTTGTTTGAATCCAATGAGTTTGTGTCAGCTATTATATCCACAGATTTGAATGACTCATTGTCACTTTTAACAGGTTCTGAATTATTTCTTTCGGGTATTAGTGGTATGATAGGTTGTTTGTCTTTTGTGGATGGCTCTGGAGGACGTGCGAATGTTTCATTGATTTCTTTTTCTGGTTTCCTTTCTAGAGGTTCTTGGTTTTCATATGCTTGGGGTTGGTCAAGGCCGCAAGATGACTGTGGAATATATTAAATCTTTGTATTATCATAAATATAGATAACAATACTTAATAGAAAACAAAATTGCTTATAACACATTTTTTGTCTCCGGTGATAGACTGACCCGTGCTCAACGGCATTAATTAAGAAAATCATTTTGCAAAATCTGCATACAATCGTTGTACGAACTTACCAGAATGGATTTTATCCATGAAGTGAGTTGTTTAATATCCTTAAAATGCAGCGTGTATAAAATTTGAATGGTATTAAGACACATTTAAATTTTTTAGATAAAATTGTTTAAAGTTGCTATTAAATAGTCATACAGTCTAATATCATTTTCAAAGATAAGTATATCTAAAGTTAACAAGTTAGATTGTCTACTTGATGCAATTACATATTTTATTTTTCTTACCTGACAATCAGCGTCTAGTTCATTATCTGTATTGATTGGAACTGTACATCCTGATCCTAATACATCAGATATACGAGTAAGTCGTATAGGACGCTCTAAGAATGGCGTCTGTGATGTTTGTCTTATTGCTGTAAGAAAATTAAATGAAATAGACCACTGCGAAGTTATACAAAATGTGACGGAATAAAAAAAATGCAAGTATACTATACAATCTTATAGGTATGATGAATATCTCTTTGTCTGTCCTTAAGGTATTGTTAAAGAATATTAAATATTTTTTTTACGTATCAAGAAACTACGGCGATGCATTGAATTGAAATATCGCATAACGTCTTCACTTTAAATATGTTGTACATAGATGTGGCGTCTAAGCTGACTGACTGACTAAATACAAGTTTTTTTTTTACCTAGCCATCATCCCTATTCAGTAAGCCACTATTTCTACTAAACTACTTACATTCTTATGACAGCATTTCTGCTTGAGATTAATGTAAATATTATCTTAGTAATTACCAATTTTAATGTAACTTTCTTGTATTGTGGATAGATAATGGTAAGAGTGAAACTTCTACTTTACTCACTGTTGCTTATAAGATTCTTTACGTAGTTAGCTGTAAGTGTTGTAGCCAGTGTGTGAGGCGTTTCCGTCGATGATACAGTGCTATACTCTTGAGTAGTTTTGTGTAAACTTTTTTCTGTAAATTGAATATGAAATAGAATTATCATCATTTTTCTGTCTTCGTTACAATTCAGGTAAGAGGCCACTTTTATCGTTGTTCTTAGCCAATTCTTATCTCACAACTCATGGTTGGAGTGGTATGAAAAAAAAATTGGACGATTTAAATATGGGATATTTTCATTTCATATTATTATGTTTAGGATCTGGCTAAGTTAGATTATATTAAGTCCATAAGCCAGTATCATGGGCTAGATATCATTCAAGTTTTATTTAACGATCGGTGTACCTAATCTAATACCTAATTTCATTTAAACATTTGCGAATCTCCCAAAGAAACGTAAATGTTGTAAGAAAAAGTAGAAAAGTCTTCGAAAATAAAGAAAAGTATCTAAATCTACAATGACATTTATTCGTATATCATGTGCCTCATAAATATTTTAAGTGGATTCTTACCTTTGATTGGTTTTTTTCCTGTAGCGTGGGGTAAAGGTTTTAAATTCTGAAACATAAAATCAGTAATTTAGTTATTAAGAAATTGTAATAGCTGCTTTATAATAACGAAATTCGTATCAATTTACCTGAATCTGGTTTTGGTCGGGCGGCGTCCGATGCGCGTTGTTGACATTGAATTTGCCGTAATGTGGGTAGTTGGCGTATTTGTCGTGCATACGGGTCTCCTTCATCGATAGCAACTCTTGGTGCTCCCGGAAATATAGAGCTGACATCACAACTAAGCTAAAACGTAAGTTTAATTTTATTGATTGATATATGCATGCAGGTGCAAATGCAAACGAAAACAATGAAGATGTTAATACTAAAACAAGGAACGTTGATTGACATGTTCTAAAACAAAATTTTCGTATATTTGTGTAATTCTCAAATTGCTTAAACGGAAGCTTTGAAGTATTGCCTCTTTCCATCATTCAAGTACAGGATTTCGTCATTAAAATGAATGAAGAAAATTTATTAGATAAACTGGTGGTCGATACTTTTATAGCCATTAAATCATATTATTATGTTTCATGTATATATTATATACTATCAAAGGCGATGTAGTCAATGATAATGTTACTGGAATTATCAAAAGTGATGCTGAAAAAATCTTGATAACTTACCATACTGCCATGATGAAGATCAAAATAGTTATGACAATCTGTAAGAACTTATTCGATATCAATTCACTACTACTGTCTCCATAATCTTTCCGTCGACAACAGAAAGGCAATCTGGTGTTACCGTATGATAATTCATCTTCTCGCAGCCACAAACAGGGATCTTTCTTTTTAGAAATCGTGCTAAAGTCTTCTTCTGGGACCTTCTGTTCGACGTATTTAGGCTCCAGGGTCTCTATTTTATCATCTTTGCTTGAATAATGTCTAACACAGGTTTTGTTATAATTATAATATTTGCCGAACTTGCAGGTGCCCTGACAGTTTTTGCACTGTTTTCGGGTATACTTAGGGGAGTTATGGCTCGGTTTATGGCAACACTTGTGCCGTCGGATATTGCGCGCGATATCTCTGATTTGGTCTAAAGATATGTTTCCTTCGCTATATAGAGATTTTAAGGAGTTAGAGGCGGCTGAGTAACGGGAATCTGGAAGACATTAGTTAATGTTATTATTTATGACAAATGTTCAAAGGGTCGAAAAATATAACGACATTGACACGGACCAAATATTTCTTATTAATACAGTCGAATCCGTTTATTATGACATCGAAGGGAATTGACAAACACGTCATTATAAGCGGACGTGATAAAAATTGTTTTTATGTAATTCTAATTAGGTATGTATTTTAATATTTTTAATAAATCATAAAAAAATTACAAGTAAAAATTATAAACGATACATTTAAGTATGTAATATTAGTATTTTTCATTTTTTTTATTAAGAAATCTGTAATTATTGCTTGTTTTTGTTTTTTTTTTTATTTTATTGTAATAACAGTCTCTAATAGTATTGTCTAAAGAAAATCACCATCGTCAAATTATCATTTTCAATATTGCTATGAACAAATCGTGATAATAATTCTGCAGCCTTTAATGCCTCTTTTGTGGTAGGTAATGGTTCTTCCTCGACTTCCTCTTCTCCATCACTTTCAAGTTAGCCACGTGCCGAACGACGCCGAGAATCACCGACAATTATCGGAAGTGTAAAAAGTCTAGGCTGTCATTATAACCGGAAATAATTTATTAAAAATGGGTCATAATAACCGACATGTCACTATAAGCAAAGTCATTATATCCGACGTTTTTTCAAGAATTTTATATGAAAACCAAACTTCGTTATATAATTACGTCATAATAAGCGGTTGGTCACTATAGGCGGTGTCATATTAAACGGATTCGACTGTAATAATTATAAATAAAAAGTGGACCTAGAAATTCTTGGATAAATTTTGCAACTACTGCAAGTTACATTACAGAGTTCAAATTAAGTATCATCAGAAAATTAAGATATAATATGAATCAAGTTGATTTCTCACCATTGCTGACACTGGATCTAGAGCTATAACTATCTCTACGGTGGAGTATGCTTATTTTACATAATTTCTTGTTGATTTTTTCCAGCTGATCTATTCTGGATTCTAAGTTACCAGTCACTTTGCACAGCTCTTTGACGGCTCCTAAGTTCTCCATGAAGACACGATCCTGTTGATTATGATTAACTGTATATTAAATCGCGAAGTGTCACCCAAAAGAACACAGAATTGATATAGTAACGACATTGACTCGTTTATGATTTATAACCTAAACACGTAATATTATCATGAACATATTGACATATTTTTCTTTTTCGTGACTGTATCGCAATAACTTTGAGATTTTTGAGAAATTATTTTATTATTTCCTTGTTGTTCTCTTCTTTCTCTACTATTAAAACCGCCATCTATTACGCAACCAACTTAATTTTAATCACAGGAATTTAAAGTTACTTGATAATATACTGGGTAATTAATTCCATGAATTCACAATAAATTCTGGCTACACTCGACAGCACACGCTAGTATAACGTTTTTAATAATCTCTCTGTCTTTTTACACCTATCTGAACTTACCTTATTCACTACCAGGAACTTCGGTATTGTATCTCCATTGGGTAATGTAACATCCCCGGCTTCCTTCACCGCCTCTGGCAATACCCTCCTTACTTCCTGTGCTATGACACCAGTATCTAATTGTGGGGTGGGGGCGGTTGGGTCATAGCCTAATAAGCCAGAGTGTTCAGCAAAAGATGGGTCATAGTTAAATCTGATAAATTGAAGAAAAATAAAATGTTTTATTATAAATTACTGGAGTATCAACATCATGCGTATTGAAATCTAAAGAGCTATAGAAAGACCTATGATAAAATTATAATAATTTCAAAAACACCGAGATATTTAATGTTAATGTAAGGCGAAATGTTACTAATTTAGCTAACTTATGTCAGCAAGTGACAAGATTAGTAAAAGATGTGTATCGAATGATGGGGCCAAAGGATAACTATGCGATGGTCAAGTTCCAGAAAACTGGGCAATCTGAAATTAGCGATTTTGTCAAAATTGCCAGGAATTCTAAAGTAAGCAATACAATCGCCAGACCACTCTGTATGGGAGCCTTGGGAGAAATTATATATGTCGTATTCTAGACAATTAAATGTACCAGGTGAGGAATTTGAAATTTATCACGTTCACGCAGCAGTACATCAGTTTACTAAATAATTTTCTTTAACTTCTATTTATATACATTATTGTATTAAAATTTGTTGTTGACTATACAAAAAAATGTCACGGATTTGTCTGACTCACTTGACAACTCTAATGCTTTGAACGTTGCGCAGTTGTTGTGCTGTGTCCAACTCTTCAATGTTGTGTTTAGCGCGTGCGTCTGAAGGGTGTAGTATATGGCCCATTACTTTCAGATTACCTGTTGATAACAAAGTTTAAGATATAAACATTCCTCTATCCATAAGGAAGGTGTGTGCTCCAGCAAGCAAGAATTTATGAACCGAAAAACAGACGTAACAGCTTATTACCATTGACGACACATGATTCATCAGGCCGGTCCGTATTGATACCAACTCTTCCGTTGAAGTGAACACTGTTTTCAGAAACACCTCGCTGCCACCAGTTTTCAGTGCAATCTGACTCGAACTGTCCTGGATTCGATGCCTGGGAAAGATATAGAATATTAAAGTTTACAAAACTTCCTAGTAAGAATTATTGCTAATGCTAGCTAGAAACAATTTAATTTGATATTCAGTTTTATTTCTTTAGTCCTGAAACTCAATTAATAGACATACCATGGTTATATGTAAGAATCTCTGTCATAGAACTATAATATGTAACTTATTTAGCTTAGAATAAGTAGTATTGGAAAACGGAAAACATCGACATCCTTAATAAGTTTAATATAATCTTGAAGCAGCAGTTAGTGCAAGGAGTTATGCAGCTTTTCTAGGATTTTATCTCTTTCAAATCATAGTATTAGATTTTCCAAATGCCGTAATACTCTAACTCACCCTGACTATAATTCTGTCGCTAGCTTGAGCGCATAACATGAAGTCGTTGTGCGCTGAATGTGCTCTCAGAGCAACGACCAATTGGAAATGTCTCTGGTCAGGATTGGGTCGTCCTTTCTTCCTCATGTTGTTGTTAGTTGTTTCAGCGAAGTGTAAACGTCCCACTGTCACTTTCGTAACTTCTCTACGCAGATCAACACTGAGGAAACACAACGTCGATAAATTAATTCTCTCAATACCACTGATTACTAATCTCATATATGTAGGTCCAAGACCCAACAATGATTTAGGAAACAGCTAATAAAATTGTTTACGACTAATTACTTATATTTTCTTGATGGTAAAGAGGTAAATGCATTTAGTCTGTATTGCGGAGGTTAAGCCACTTTCGTAAGGGCAGGACATAAAATGGTTAACCATTTGGTTATTATATCTACTTTATTTATTATATCGTATTCCTAGATGCTTCAAAAGGTATGTTAAAGAATGACGAATTACACAATAAAAACAACTAAGTTTTGTTGCGTTAAGTTTAACAGCATTAATGGTTTTAAAGTATATTTAACTTATAGTTTTTTTTAACTCTCTATTTATAATGCATTGATCTGGTAATGACATAGTTTTCGTAAATGTCATTAGGCTTGACTATAATTTTCTTTATAATTAGCACTGTTTCTGGCGTTAATTTTATAACGCTTTGACAGTAACAATAACTTATTTCATCCCGAATAATTACTATACATTCTTACTTACGGCCATGGGTGAAATGGTTTCTTGGTCCTATCCGATTGACTTTGTTCTACTTTCACCATTTGACTTGGATCTTCAGCCTGAGGTAAAAAAATATATTTTTTAAATATAACAAGTTAGCATTCCGATATATTTTCAAGTGATAATTTTTAGGGTTCCGTATCTAAAGGGTAAAAATATTAGTAACACTCCGTTAGGGTTTAATAATGTCTTTAAACTCTAATGAATGTCAAATATGTATGGGTAATGATACTTTAACTAATAACAATTTTAATGGACGTTTGTGCAACTCGTAGTGTATCCATAAACTGTGATTGGTTTACAGATAATGTCCACTTTATCCCTGGTACTCCCAACTTTTTATTAAGAATAAATAGCCTCCCATATATTAAACAAACCACATGAACAAATTTTATAGATAATGGTACGGATCCTTCGTGCACAAATCCGACTCACACAGGGCCGTTTTTATTTCGAGGAGCTTGATGGTGCAGCGGTTTAAGTGTTCAGGCCATTTTTTCAAGGGATGGCCAAAAACTTATTATTTCGAGCTTCTGTATATTTGCAGTTGTTAACACTCGCTAATACGCATTGGGCCTGCATAATGAATTCTCCCTACGCGATTCTATATATAATGAAGCATGATTTGTGCCCAAGCCGCAAGGAGGACATTAACGGGGTAAGAATTTTAATAATTAAATTGAATATTTATCTGTCTTTCATTTTGTAATGAAAATGAAATGTTTTTTACATAAAGATTTTTTATCTAAAACTTATCAACAGAGGAACTACATAAGAGATGACCGCGTATAAAATATCCCTTCGTTCAAACCAGTTTCGAAAAACAGAATCATGTTTCTCATTTCACAACTGGTTTCTATTATAGAATAAATGAACTTCTTTTGAAAATGCACAAAATAAAGAAAATATTCATTTTGTCGAACGAAAACCTTTTCGTTTTAAAATTCTGTTACAATTTACTATAAATTACAGCTCACCTTTACGCCGTAGAAATGCAGACAAAAGTTGTTGATTTTTTTGAAACCTTCATTGGTTTTAACATAATGCGGGTCACCCTGCATCTGAATTTGACAGGTCACCTGGAAATGGTTTTTCTTCTGACAGACAAACGCCTCGTCTATTTGTGAGTAGTTGAAACCTTTATCTGCACCAACAACGTATGAAGGGGGTGGTCTGGCAAGAAAACAAATAATTTTTTGAGAAAATATGACCGAAATTCAACCATCTAATGTGCTCGAGAAGAATGAATGAGAATAAAAGTTATGTCTTGATAAATTGGCCTCCGATCAGCATAATGCCACGACAGTCTACCGTGACGCTGGTATTCTGCAGCGAATACCCTGAGAGTAGGGACAGGCCACAAAATACATGGATTTTAATTGATAGGATTCGAATCTGTCATCTTTCAGAGACTGCTACAGCTCTAAATGTTCTCAGTAAGGTACTTCTTACATTAGCTACCGGAGATAATATTTCCATTAACAGAATCTTAGACGATTAGATGTGGTAAGTACAAACAAGAATATATCTAGCAGCCCATTAAAAAGTAACAGAGGCAAATTGTGACTTTATGAAAAGGATTGATATATCTTGGTCATTTCACTGTAGTCATAAGTTTTCCAAGTTTTTCGTTTGTCTGTGTATTCCTAGGATAATCTTTGTTCAATAGATAGTTGGAAATTCCTTAAACCCTATCCTAGTATTATAAAGTAAAAGTTTTCATATTCAGGTTGAACTTTTTGCATTTAGGAGATAGATGACTCAGATATAGGTGACGCAAATACATGGTCATTTGTGCACATATTGAGTATATAACTAATAGTTCAAATACTTACAGAGGTTTCAAATTGCAGTCATAAAGAGTATGCCAAGAGTTTTGCTGGAAAGGCGCAAATCGTATGCATTGTAATGGAGGATCATCACCAGCTTCTGATCCATCAACGGAGGGGGGAGGGCGGACATTGGTGGCACTTTCGGGTGACAGAGCTGCTGGAATTAAAGTATTGAATTCTAATAACCTAGACAAGACTACTGTTATATGCTACTGTTCACGTTTACGTAACCAGTCTACTTAAATCCTGCTGTGTCATATTTTTGTAAATGTAGAATGGTAACTATAATTTGTCAAATTTAATATTCTCTTCTACGATTAATTTAGTGATTATTTGGCATCGTAAGAGGTTTGCACAATTTAAGTTTACTAAATAGTTTCATTCAGATGCTTTTTTTAAAAAAAAACTTCATTATACTGCGCCATTTTCAACAATTTTTGCTCTTTGGACTGAGGTGGGGGTTGTTAACGAGAACAGAAGCCAAACTTATTTGTATAATGTTGCCGTATAACTTTGTAACCAAATCTTTTAAATATGTTAGAAAACTTTTAATCTACACCTTGTCGATTATCATGATGGCATTAGCAAGTTAAAATATATATTGATTGTTATTAATTACAAAAGAAAGTCTATTTTAATTTAGATTCTCGTATTTTAACTCAATCAAACTTACCAGGTTCACATTTGACTTGTGAGTTAGTATCTTGTGAGTGTTTTCTTTTTTTGGTACTAGGTTCTTGAAGGCTAGTGTACACTGGCGTTAATCCTTCATGACCTAGTGCAACCATTTGGGGATTTATCAGTCCTTGTTCCAACTCAGGCATATCCACCCTCATTTGTGTATACCGCTGATAGGGATCTAGCCCCAAATCCTGTCTAACTGTTCTTATACCCAATTCTACAATGCTAGGATCTTGAGGTAACACCACGACATCGTTGAGATTATTTCTCAAGACATCATGGTCTAGATTATCAGATTTCAGCTCCTCGTATATGTACTCCCCATCAGGCTGTAGGATCTCATGGTTTGTGATGTGGTCGTGTACCAGCATGTAATCTGGACCCAAAACTGTTTGGGATACAGTGATAGTGTGAGGCACTTGTTCTGATGGACTGTACGGGTTCTCCGAGCCGGAGTCTGGAGGACTTTCTGGCAATTGGTGGCCCCTGTGGAAAATATAAACAAGTCTAAATATTTTTATCAAGAGATAGAGCTGGAGCGGAGATTGAACAACTTTCTCAGTGGCCGTTAATAGGATTATACAGGACGGGTGACCAAAAATTGACTATCTTCAGTTCTTCCATGCTTTAGGATGGCACTTGCCATATTGATATTATTAATTAAATTTTGAAAACATGTATGTTGTATTGCAATTTTATTTATTATTTTATACAATTTTTTTTCTTCTATTATTAACTTACATGAATTCAATGAATTCACCAGTACCGATAACTTGTTTTATACAGTAATATTATTTGTATTCGAATGAATTTATATTTTCTTGACTACAAAACACTGTGTCGTCTTGTATTATGCATAAAAATCTTTCTTTTCATTCACCCTAGTTATTAAAAAAACACATAAAAAACTGTTGCGTAGTTTTAAAGATAGCATAAGCATACCCACATAAGGACAGACAATGGAAAGCGACTTTGTTATATAATATGTATTGATTATATGATCAAGATCAGAAGTATCAAAGCGAAGTAAAATAACAGTTAAATTCCAACAACACAGACACATCTGATGTTAATCGAATTCTGGAACATCTAAGCAAGGCACTTTGTAAAGCAGCGAACATTGTTGCATCAAAGAAAATAACTGGCCGAACAAACAAACAATAAGGGGATACAAAGGCATTGCTGGAGAAAAGGAGGAGCCTTATCAATAAAGGAAAAAGTCATACGACCGAGTTTAAAAAAGTTTGTAGGGAGGCCCGACATCATGTCGAGAGAGATCTGGATGCATATCGCGAAAAAACCACCCAAAATATTATAAAGAAACACCAAGAGCCAAAGGTATTTATGAAGGCTCTGAAACCCGGTTCCCAATTAATCACTAAACTTTGTGACAAAGATGAAAATCTCGTTGCTGAGCTGCGTTAATTACTGGAAATCGTGGGTGAATACTACCAGCTACTATAAAGTTCTCTAAACCTCAAAATTAAGCAAACCGAAAAATAACAAACGTTAGATCAGAAGATGTACTGGAGATAACAAAAGTCGAAATACATGCAGCCTTGTCTATGATGTAAAATGGCAGAGCCCCCGGAGAAGATAATATCATTATAGAAATGGTCAATTCTGGAGGTCATAAATCCCCTTGTTATGCTATTTAATAAGTGATTGGAAGAATTCAAAATACCGACGAAATGGGAAAATTCTATAGTCATTTTTTTATTCAATAAGAGGAAAAAATCAGACCTGAATAACTATCGCCCCATCAGTATATAATTACAGCTGTATAAACTTTTTACTAAAATTATTATCACTCATTTGACTAAAAAGCTGAACTATTACCGACCAGTGGAACAGGCTGGATTCGGAAGAGGTTTTAGCACTATGGACCATATAATAACTAAGAGGATCATTATTGAAAAAGTCGCTGAATATCAGCTACAACTCTGGATCGCATTTATAGACTACAAGAAGGCCTTTGATAGCATCGAAACCTTGGCAGTGATTCGGTCCCTCCAGAATGCCCGCGTTGATTACCGCTATACTGACCAAATATAGAAAATATACCAAAATGCAACCGTAAAGTCAGCGATATTACCGAACGGGTTAGGTATTGAAATGGGAGTAGGCTGGACATGTCGCCCGTAAGTACAATTTGTGTTGCACGACATCATCAAAAGATTGCTGGAAACAAAATGTATGGAGACTGCTCAAGTCCGAGAAAGATGATAGAAACTGAGAGAGGCTTACAACTTAGCGGTTGAAAGATGCTAGAGAGAGAGAGAGATGTTAAGATCAAGAATCCTATGAAGAACGTGTCTAATAAAGTTAATTAAAATAAAGCAATTAAACTTGTAATCATCATTTATTTTTAAACCTATTTATACGACAAAACAATGAAATGGTAAACCGAATAATTCGACCGAATATCCGGTTTGGTAGATGTTAACCCTGACAGTATTCGATTAGTCGGTGAAACCACTATTCAGTGCATTTCTACTAATAATCGACCGAGTGTTTTTGTCATAATTGTAATACCTAGTTATTTTTGCATTATATTTACTCATGATGGCTAAATAGCTCAAAGCTCTCACTGAACTTAAATAAATATCATCATTATACATATAAACCTATTTATTGTAAATAAAGACATTATTATTATTGCCTTTAACCGGGCTGCATTTGTGTGATTATAACCTGTTCTCCCTATTCGATTTCATCCATAGAGAAAGCCTGTGCCCTGCAATGGGGACATTAATAAACTGGTTATGGTGCAGTATTTAAAATTGTATAATTTATTGCCTTGGTATATTACTTTATTGTTAATATGGTTCTTTTTTTCTTACCCTATCCGACGCGCATCTAGAGGCTGTGGATAACAGCCGTCGCCAACGGGTCCAATGAAAGCCTCCAGCTCGTCGATCAAGCCCGGACCTGTAATGAACAAAAAAATAACATAATTATTGATTTTCCGTCATCAGCATCATCATTAAAGTTGTCTGCACTAAGTTTCATTCTCCAGAGGCATGAGCGTATACCTCTCTAACCATAGAATACGAAATCTTAGCGATGTTAGGGCTGTTACCGTGGTATTTCGTTTCACTTTACATCTCTTTATGTTGAATAAACGACTTAGTTGTTAACAGTTCTGACAAAACTTTAATCGTCATTCTTTATTGTTTGTTTGTTATTATTAACGTAGAACTTGCTTAACAATATTCCTTTAAATCTACAGACGGTGAATTGTTAAAAATAAACTTAAAGTTATGATTAAGTTACTTAATTAACAACTCAATAGGTGTACATCAGATCCTACTCACTGATCGATCTTGATTTTGAAATAAGAAGGATGTGAAAAATCTGCTGGACGTGTTTTTAAATAGATCGATTGTTTCCTGACAACCAAATCTAAATTAAAAAATAATTCCAAGTTTTCAATATTTGGAAAAAAGAGATTGGGTTTTTGAATTTAGATCGCTATTTAGTTCTTAATTCAAATCGTATATGTTTTATGTTAGGTGCTTAAATTAAAAAAATATATATATTTGTATTACTACGAATTTTACTATTTATTTTTAGTTTATGGTAAGCAAAGAGAATTTACCTAGTAAGAAAACATATTTATATCCAGGTGTTAATAGGAGCTATGAATGATGTGGTGATTTTTACCCGCTAGCGACGAGCGCCGGGTTAAATCCTGAGAACTAATTAATGTGTTTTTTTTTTGTTTAATATTCACAATGACGTCAGACAAAATATTGCTTTTTTTCCGTTACTCAATCCTCTCAAACTCGTTTTGCTCGATAAATAAATTGAATATATTGACGTAGATAATCTGATGTAAGTTTTCCTCTTAACGCATCATATCAGTATAAAAAAAAATAAGTTTATCTGCAATAATAACAAAACTTCTATCGCGTTACAATATTGAATATTAAATAATAATACAAACTGAAAAGCTCTATAGCGCAATCGTTAGAGAGTATTTGGTCCTCGATACGGGAGTTAAGCAACTTTCCCAATGGCCGGTTATAGGATGGGTGACCGAAAATTTATTATCTCTAGCTGCCCTTCGGAAGGCAAGTTAAGCCGTTAGTTAGTCTAGGCTGCAACTAAAGTAAGGCCAATACGCATTGGGCCCGCGTGATGATCTATTCTCCCAATTCACGTATGGGAATCAAGCTATAATGGCAGATACAGTCTGGTGACAGACAAACAGACTCACGTACGATGGAGTCTCAGTAATGGGGTCCCGTCTTTTTACTTTAGGTACGAAATCTTAAAAAAAATGTGAAATTTAGTGTTAACTGTGAATTTTTTTCTATCCAGAAATCTTCATAAGCTCACGTCTTTTCTGTTACAGAATCCTTAGATATATAATGTAGTTTTATTTCTTTGTACAATCAACAGCACGTCAAATTATAACAATTTTTTTTTTAAATATGATGATTTTGGATGAACGCGCCATCTTTAGACGAATGTAAAACAGCATTATTCAACACATGCAAAGTCATGGTGGCATTAGTAGACTATCACAATTTTCACTTAATAAAATTTTTAATACACTACACTAGCGATACATATGATATAGTCGGACTCGTAAACATAAAGCGTGACGGAGAAAAATAATTGCATCAGTGCGTCGTCGCGTCGCTAAAGAAGCTAATATTGCGTCATGGTTATAGGCAGGTTAGTGTGAGCACTTACTTTTTTTTATTTTTTTTTATAGATGTCTCGTTAAATGCGCACGCATTAGTTATGATAAACTGGCTGTCCCGCGTCTTGCTCGCGTAAATTACAGACTGTGTTGCTCGCGTACGTTCTAGCTTCCCGTATGTGTTAAAAAAAAAAACGGTCTAGTAGTTACGGAGCCTGTTCGATGCACATTAACTAAATTTTCTCTTTATAGTATTAGAATAGATTAGGTATAGCAGTATGCCTTAAAACACTTGTATTTTAACTGTGAAATTTAGGGTCGGTACACATTTGACGGAAGATTCGTCAAGCGTTGGAATGCGTCAAAAACGTATTATCCGTCGAGTGTGCAAGAATATCATATCATATATTCAGCGCCGCCGGCTCGACGAAATACGGCGGTCAGGCAAAACACTGGAACATGGCGCTCTACGCAAAACACTGGAGCGACGACCATAAAAGAAATCACAATAACATAATAACATTGCAGGTACATACATCGATATATCCATATTGACCGCTCTGTTACTTCATGGAAATATTTGTATTTTTTTTATCTCTTACATTATTATTGTATCTGTTCATGACAGATGTGGTACTTTATATAAAATGTGTAATTTTGTCGATGACAAAAAAAAAACTCCTTCGGTACTGCTAGTTTCAAAATATTGTACTTTTAAATACCGCCGACATAGGCTCATGTTCAAATGACAATAGTAAATTCTTTGATACTGCATTTTGAAGGTTAGGGTTAGAATAAACATAATCTGTTTGCCATGCTTTGCCGCCCCTTACATAAGAGCGCCCTAGGCGGTTGCGAAGTTTTCCTATATAGACTGGTCGGCTCTGTATAGTTTTGTCAGTTCTAACGTTCCGCGACCAACTAGTAGCGACGAACTCCACAGACATGTACCGATCTTTAGATTACTAATTTAACTCTTTGTGATGAGTAACCTAGAGTTTATTTATGTATTAGACTATTAAAAATAACTATAATAAAGTTACAATTAATCTTCAAAAACAGCAGAGATGTCCAATTTTGCGTAGGTACTGTGATTGAAGAATGTTAAAAAAATTGCGCTATTTTGGAAAAAAACTATAGTTAAAACCTAATAAAGTTGGTGGGAACGCCATTTGAAAGAAAAATACCGCGTAATATTGATAAAAAATGGCGGGAAATTATCTACGGTTCTTGGACCGTCATCAAACAATTAAAAAATGATTTGAGAAATAGATCTGCAAGAAACCTATTTTCTATATTTCCAAATAATATTATAGCGCGAGGCAAATCTTCGTTTTTCACATGGTGAAAAATATCATCTTGTACAACTTAGGTATCCAAAAATAACGATGCAAACAAAGTTTTTATAATCTAAAATAAAGTTTATTAAATCACCGCAAAAAAAAATAAAAAAGTGCTGGCACCAATAGTTAAAAATAAACACAAGTGTTACAAGTATGAATGACGCGATACGAGCTTCTGATTCCATTGTTTTTGTGTTTTTTATTTATGTTAATTAAGCTACATTTGGATACAGTGAAATCTTCTTTTTTTCATTAATTAAACTAAATGTATACAAAAAGGTAAATAAACCGCAATTTCGTCCGCGTGAAGTAGCTGTTTGTAGTTCGTAAATTAAAGTCTATGGTAGCTTCCCGTATGAGCAGGAATTATCATGATAACACTATTTGCGAAGATAACGCTCTATAAACAAACAAACAAAGTCAGAAACTTTAGCTCTATAATATTAGTATTAGATAGTAAGTTAATCTATATATATATATAAAAGCGAAAGGTCGCTCACTCACTCATCACGAAATCTCAGAAACTACAAGTGCTAGGAGTTTCAAATTTTGCATGCGGGTTCTTTTCAGGACGTAGGTGCTCATTAAGACGGGATTTTACAAAATTCGACCCTTAAGGGGGTGAATTTTTTTATGGAATTTTCTCATTTCTGGACTTAAAACTAATTCACGCGGGCGAAGCCGCTGGCGGAAGGCTAGTGTCATTATATGTATAAGAAAGGGTAAAGTTTGTACTATCCAATTCTATAGCACAAATCTATCACATAAATTTTCTCCTTTTTTGGGGAATTGTCTGTTGATAATCAACAAAAAATTGTCTACTCAAAATTTAACTTAAATGGAGGCTATTAGAGTTATCATATGATAATACAGAGAAGATGCCTAATAATTTTAAAACAAATTATGCCATATATTACATTGTACTTGTATGAATTAATGTAAAGGTTGAGATTGACAATAATGATGTTGGAAGTACAGCTTACATTTATTAGAAACATGTTCGTGGGGTGGGAACCTGCTGATTTATTATTTCAGACTAAGCATATTATAGACACGAGTCTCCGACAAATAAAAAAGTAAAATTATCTAAAAATAATGTATGTACCCATACCCATGCAGTATGTAAATTTGTGAAGAGAAATAAAGATATTTATTATTATTATTATCTTCATCGTTTCTTCTTCTTCTTTCTTTTCGTTAAGCAACTTTCGCAAGGATTGGTAACGGGTTGGGTGACCAACAAAAAAATATTATTTCTAGCTACTCCGTGCTCTGGAAGGCATGTTAAGCCGTTGATCTCGGCTACATTTGCAGTCGTTAACATCCATCAATCCGCATTGGGCGGACGCATTGGTGGACGTAAAAAGGGCTGATGATGATGGCAATGATGGCTATCTTCATCATAAATATCCCTATTACCGAGACACAAGACTTCCCTACAGTTACAATGGGTCTTATTTCACCACGCTGGGTTTTAGTGCAGAGTTGTATCTTGCAGATGCAGCCGAGACGGGAAAAGTTATACTATTGTGGTCACCCATCCCATGATAGGCCTTTACGAAATATGCTTCACCCATTATAGCAGAACGCATTATCCACTGCTCCATTGACTTCTGTATCTTGTAAAATAATTCTAAAATAGTTTAATTAAGTATCAAGTATACCTAACCCCGGCCGATCTCCACTAGTTGGAAGACATTAAGAAAAGGAAGATTTTTATACAAAAGCCCATGAACATTCGATAATAAATATTTAGGCTCGGTTGCACCATTTGCAGTTATTTTTTTTTATAGTTAATGTCAAATTTGACAATATCTGTCACGCTGACTTTGGAGTTATAGTAAAACAATAACTTATGTGATTATAGTTTAGAGTTCAAGTTATGACGCCACCCAACCATTGTCAAGTGATAACTCATCATTTGCTTAACCGGT